TAAGTAATAGATTACACCATATTATCATATACATCCAAATGATTGTTAAATTATTATCAACAGATTTCCACAAACCATATTTCCATAAGTAATAGATTATACCATATTATCATATATATCCAAATGATTGTTAAATTGTTATCAACAGATTTCTACATATTCACAATTTTATCCTTCTATTTTTTAATAATGGCGACGGAGAAAAAAGAAAAGAACATATAATGTGAAGCCATGGGTTTTATCAAATTAACTATGGAAAATATCATTTCAATGGATAATAAACTATGGTATTATTTGGAAAATACATTAATGGTATATGAATTTATTATTGTGCAATCTTATCTTGAAATATGAAAAACAATAATTGATTATACTATGAAATTCCTGAAGAATGAATGCACACAATTATTAAAAATGAGAAGGATAAAATTATGAATATGTAGAAATCTGTTGATAATAATTTAACAATCATTTGGATGTATACAAAGTTAGGGAGTACCGCAAATACTTGTATCTAAGATACAAGATCCTTTTGTATCTTGTACTCAGTATCTTATTGACATTTTTAATAAGATACTAGTATCTGTATCTAAGATCCTTTATTTTGAAAAGTATCTTGTATCTTTTTCATTTTCTTTAAAAAGATACAGATTCTTTTTAATATTCATGTTTAAAACATTTACATATCACACAATGTAACTTTATTTTCTTCGTGAAATCTTGTATTATTTTCTTTATTTTTTCCTTCTATATTTTAAATATATTGATAACCAAAATTAGTTGGAAATTTTACAAATCACAAAGATAGATAGATTAAAAATAACAACACCAAAACTAAATAAGTAAAGGTTATATTTTATATGTAATATTTTTTAATTTGTAGAATGTTTAACATTTATATTAGTGAAGATGAAATTATGGAGATAGGTTCTCCTGAATCAAACCCGAATCTTAAAATTCTAGATGGAAAATTTTTTAAAGTAATTCATGTGAAAAAGGACAACAAGCCGAATGTCAAAATTGCACAAGTAAAAAAGTTATTAAAGATTGAACAAACTCCTCTACAAACTTTGTAAACATATTAAAGTATAATATATACATTTTTATTTTATAATTATTAACATAATAATACCTATACTTAAGTCCCTCTTAGATATTTGTTATTAAAATTTTTATAGAAGATAGTTGATTATCAAATTAAAATCATTTTGGATATATATATTTTAGGGGTGCACTGATACCACTTTTTAGAGGTCGATCCGATCCGATATTCCCGATATTAAATGATATCGGCCGATTACCGATCCGATATCATATCTAATTTAGTATTCTGTAAAGATAACAATGGTTTTAATTTTTAATATACTATTTATTAGTACAACATCTATAATTTAACTATACCATAAATTATGTCATTTAAATATATTATAATGATCAGTTATAGTTTATATTCATCTCAATTGCAATTCTAAAAGTATAAAAAATATTTTTATTGTTAAATCACTTTTATATAATAAGTAATAACATTAATCTATATAATTATTAAGCAATAAACATTTATATTATGAAATTTGAAATAAATATTTAAAATAATATTTAACATTAATATAGCGAAGATTTCTTTTTAGAAATACCAATATTTCCAATTTATCAGAGGTCAGCTTGCAGCGATAGCAACTGTCAATATCACCAGCTTCACTAAAAACAGATTCTAAAGTGATTATCGCACACTTTTATAAACAGAATGCGCAAAAAAATAACAATAGGGTAGAATGTTTATTAATTAATTATTATTATTAAAAAAATATACATAAAAATGGATTTCGATTTCATTTATAAAAATAAATGATTTTAGATAAAACTATTTTTTTAAATTTTATAACATTTTATTTTTGTTAAAGAAGCCTCGGATCAAATTTTATAATATTGACCGATAATTGATATTTTAAAATGGGTAAAATATTGGCCCGATCCGATTCTATAAAAAATATTGGCACATCCCTAATATATTTTATATTTAATTATTTTAGCAAGTTCTTAAATATTTAAGCTACAATTGATATATAATATTAGATATTTAAAAGGCTCTTAATAAAATTATTATAATAAGGTAGAATTTAACTTTATTAGTTATTTTTATTTATTAATGATATAAGTAAAATTACATTACAGTATTTATTTACAAAATTTAGTCAATTTAAAATGCATTAAAGAAAATTGTTATGTATTTAATAATTATAATATAATGTTGTACATTATTTTCATAATTTTTATATATAATTAATGATTTTGCAAGAAATAAAAAAAAATTGAAAAGAGATTTAAATGATATTTATATATATGATATTACAAACGCAAGAATTAATAAGTTATATTAGAAAATAAACTAATTTAAAAAATACATAAATATTACAAACAAGTAATGATAAATACTTATTAAGGATCATGAATAAAATAAAACTGGTATTTTTTTTAAGAGATGCCATTTAGCCATATACTCCGAATATAAGCTATATTTAGAACAACACAGAAAATAACCTGCAAATTCTAATAAATCATTTGATTTAATTTTTTTTCTTATTTGCACATTTTTAATTACCATTAAATATACTACTCTCCCTTCCCTATTTTATTAATTATTGCAAATATTCATTCTTATATGTGTATGCTATGTTCTTCACAAATAAATAATAAAAACTGTATTCTATAAACTATTCTAATTTAATTGGTAATGATAATTTAAAAGTATCTATTTAAGATACTCTAATTTAGTAAAAGATACAAGTATCTTTTATCTTGTATCTTTTTGATATTTTGAAAAAGATACTAGTATCTGTATCTAAGATTCATTTTTTTATAAAGAATCTGTATCTGTATCTAGATTCTTTTTCCGGAGGACCTGCCCAACTCTGGATGTATATGATAATATGGTATAATCTATTACGTAAGGAAATATGGTTTGTGGAAATCTGTTGATAATAATTTAACAATCATTTGGATGTATATGATAATATGGTATAATCTATTACTTATGATGATGGTACAATCTTTTACTTATGGAAATATGATAATTGATTACTCTTTGTAAAATGGACATTATTGGAACAATTATATGGGAAAACATGGAGATTGGTTCATGGATTATGGAATTTGGTCATTGATAAAAGGGTTACTGATAGAACCTGGCTTATTTTGACATTGTGAAAATGGATACCGATAAATATACCTGACTAATTAAGACATAAAGATATAAGGATGTTGGGCTTTCAAATCACGTGACCTATGCAAAACTATTGGGGCTTCCGTGAGCCAGATGTAGCCGTACTTGGGTTAAGGAACTACTTCTTATACGATGTAGGGATTTGGATTACCTCATGGGCCATCCAAGGATGATAGCGATCTCTTGGCCAGCTCTAAGATAATAGTGACCTCGTGGGCCAATCAAAGATGACAGTGATCTCTTGGCCAACTCTAGGATAATGATGACCTCGTGAACCTATAACGATACTCCGGTGGGAGATCCAGTGATATTGATTCTCCGGTGGGAGATCGAGGTACAATGACTCGATAACAATTCTCCGGTGGGAGATCCATCGATATTGATACTCCGGTAGGATATCAATCAACAAGGGAAACGATATTGATACTCTAGGTGAGATCAATCAACAAGGAAAATAATATTGATACTCTAAGTGAGATTAATCTTACCAAGGCAGCGGTAAATGGAGACCAAAAGCTAAGATGTTTTATGAGAAATTTTAAGTTGTATTTCCTTTCAATTAATGAAGGGGAAATGTAGTAAAGAAGTAATTTATTGTAATATTTTATTTACATTTTATGTGTTATATTTGTCAGTTACTAATGATTATATATATAGATATTTTATTATATGTTTTATTGATGAGTATAATAATTATGAACGATAAACTTCCTAATATTTTTATATATACATTTCCATATATATATATTTACTATTGTGAAAATGGAGGAATAAAATATTATATGTTCTTTTCCTTTTTCTCAGTCGCCAATTATACAATTGGGTTTCTGACATTTTATTCCCTTGTTTTCACACAATAGGAAATATATATATGGATAAATGTATACATAAAAATATTAGGAAGTTTATCGTAAGTAATTATATACTCATCATACATTATAAAACACATAAAATATCTATATACTTATCATACATTATAAAACATATAAAATATCTATATATTATAATTAATAGTAACTGACAAAAAATATTACAATAAATTACTCCTTTACTACAATTAGGAAATTTTATAGCAATGTTTTTACAATAGGATGCCCTTCCTGACATCAACCAACCCCTTTAGGTGATTTTTTATACCCCGTCAAGGAGACGGTGATTCTATTCTAGACCCAGACCAAAGGGAACCTTTTAAACCTCCATTAGCCGCCAAAAGACATTGCCACTCCCTCGCCACGATGAGGCTGAAGGTAGGATTTGGGAAGGGGGGGGGAGTGTTTCAATTTTTATCTATTTTTGTTATCATAATATTTATAAAATAATTAATTTTTAAAATAGAATCGCGGTAAAATGTATATAATTTTTCTTTTCCCAGCCTGGATTCAAAACGGCTAAAATCATATATTTACTTTAAATAAACATGATGTTGGGTTGGGAGTGGAGGGAACAAGGAGTTGGAGGGTGATCAAAGACAACCCGGGTTGAAGGGACTAGATAATGACATAAAAACGCCAGGTTTGACCCGAAGCGAAACCCAGGACCGCGAAAAAAAGGATTAAATGGACTTACTGGGTAAACCTGGAAAAGGGCCACTAAACGACGAAGAAAAAGAATCAATATCTGGCTTTCGACCGATGTCAACTTGACTGATAATAACATCGAATGAAATTGGGGAGGGCTCTAAAATGAGGTATCGTTCCATCTCTAATAATTTAAACCTATATACCAAAAGTGAGTGAAAAAATATTTCTTAAAAAAAGGTCTGTTTTCAATTATTATTCACTTCCAAGCCGCTGTCGCGGTTAGTCGCGTCGTCATGCATCTTCCAGCACACGTTCTTCCACAAAATCCTGTTGAGATTCCCGTCTATTCCACCGTTCTCTCCAAAATCTTCCTCTCCTCCTCCGCCACCATCTTCCTCTCTGGAACTGGTGACGTTGCGATCGTGAAACAGTTTCCAACCTTTCAATGTATCGGCCCTCCAATCCTGACCCGAGTTGCGACAAATTTCTTCAATCTATTATTATTTTTAAAATTTTCTTTTTGTTTAATTTTCATTTCATTCTCCACATTCTTCCATTGATTCTAAAAAATTCTTCCTCCTACTTCCACCCCCCCCCCTTCTTCCAAGATACTGGTTACTAGGTGGATTTCAAGCAAAGGTTTAAGTTATCAGAATTCGTATAATAATCACGTGACGATTTGTAAAATCATGATATTATATATATAATTATAATATCTTCGAAATATTTAACCTTTTCGAATTGACCGCATCTGACGCACATAAATATCTGCTTGAGTAATCTATCCTCGTACTCCTTTACAAATAATAAATTTTATTTAGTTTTTTTGTAATAAATAAAAACGAAAATTTAAAAATAATGGAATTATAATTACAATACCATATCGAGAGGCGCTAAGATTTTATTTTGCCTAGTGGGAGCATCTGGATCCTAAATATTAGAATTATAATATAATTTTAAAAAAAAAGAAAGAATGTAATCTATGTTAAATGACCTAACTTTGACCATCTGTATTATGGGTTTAGTCAAGTTTTTAGCCTAAAAAATGAATTAAGCTTCTAAGTTGAGTCTCAGCTTGAAGATTGATTGGAATATTTTTGGTTAAAAATATGACTACATTGTTTTATAGTTTACTAAAGTTAGGTAGTTTAACAACACTAGGCGGCGTTTTAACACTGTAATTCAGATTCGAATCAAATTTTAACTCGTTTAAAGACAAAACAAATGATATACATATATAATATATAAAGATTGCGAGATGTTAAAATATTTAGAAACGGTGGGGGGAAAATGCAAGTTAATGTATTTGGTATTCAAAATCTAATGCTAAGTAGCCCTAGCATAAGACGTATTTTATTTGAGGAATACATTTTTTGCTTAATGCGTGTAAGCAGCTGTAAAGTGGTTATTTAAATCGTAAGTTACCAATTCGGAAACCATGTTCGATATCATGTCATTCATTTCATCATCGCAATCTCCTCCGCGTGACGCGTTTTCTTTCATTTTCAACATTTTCTTAGTCTCGTCCCTTTTACAGATATAATACGATTAAAATATTTTACTGTTAAATAATCTGATTTTGTTTGTTATACCATTCGGTGAAATAATTTATAAATGAATGGCTTCTATTTTCATCAAGCCCTTGATGTTACTTGGTTCCGGCCTAGGCAAGGGGCTTAATATTTCTAACGGGCCTAGGTCGGGCCTAGATTTTTTACTACGGGCCTGGACCAGGTTTGATCAAAAAATTAAGGCTCACGAAGATCTCTGCTATAAGCATCGTTATCAATTCGAGTTGCAAAAATTTAATAAATTAATCGAAAATATGGACGCATTAGTTAATATTTGATAAAATGAAAATATTATTAGCATTGATTCATATAAAACAACCCGAACTTCGAAAATATGAGTTCTGGGGGGGGGGGGGTATTTTAGGTGTAATTTCGAGGATAGCAATGATAGACATTAGAGATGATTGGCTTGATAGTTTTATGATTATTTCTTTTCATTTCAAACATATTTTTTAAAAAAAATCAAAACTAGTCTAGTTAAACGGCTCGATTTTTAAAATGGCTAATGTCATAAATAATACATTTATAAGATAATGTCAATCATATTTATTTATCTATGTTTTTGTATTTAGTTAGAAAAATGTCAGTCATTTTGAAATATTAGAAATTAATTGATATTATATTTTTGTAAGAAAAAAAGATTACTTTTATAATTTTTGTAAAACTTGTGACTTTTTATATTTGATAACTTTTTTTTAATTTTAATAAAACCTTTTTTGAATTATGATAACATTTTGCGCTTTTAATTTTTGACCTTTGTAATTTGATGAATATTTTTTATTTAATGAAGATGATGAATACATTTTATTCAATAAAGATATAAGTCCAAATTTTAGTTCGTGTTGCATTTATTTTATAAGTCGTAATTTAGTTCATTAATTTGATAGTTTTCATTCTGAGTTTATTCTTATATTAGAATTTCGTTTTAGTAATTTTTGATATAGTTAACATTTGAATCTCTCTTTTTCTCTTGTTTTTGTCAGTTGGTGCCGTGACCAGGATTCCTATGATGGCCAGGGTGACGGTCACGAAGGAAATGCTGAGACACGCGATCATGATCATTTCAGTTTTAGAAAGGAAAGAAGGCATGTTACCAGTCTCCTTTGTGGCAGATACTGCTGGCGGTTGACCTAGGAGTGCAGAATTAATTGGCGACTCTTCTTTTTCTTCCTTCTTGATAAATTCTTCTTTATTAGTCATGGTGGCGGTTTGATCGAATTTATCCAAGTCCCCGTTCAACATCTTATCTGCCTCGAGATCTTGTCTACAGCCAATGCTTCATTTTCCTCTCGATGAGAACTGTAACGGAACAATCTTTTCCTTCAAACCCTGGTGGACAATTGCAAGAGTAATCGTTGATCAAGTCAGTACACGTTCCCCCATTAGAACAAGGTCGGGCTCTACAGTCCGGGATGTCTATTTGGCACAAGCTTCCAGTGAACCCCGGAACGCATCGGCACACAAAAGACGAAGAAGGAGAAGCACCTCCTTTACGTTCGTAACATGTGGCACCGTTCAAACAAGGGTTTATGTCGCAATGACTTTGAAATAATTTTGAAGAGTCTGGAGACGACAACAGGTTTTTAGAGTTTGGAGAGGAAATTGGTAAAGATTTGGATTGTTGGTTGATTAACGATATAACTTCCTTTTCGGAGCAGTCCAAGCCAGTGAAGCCCTTTTGGCATAGACACTTTTGAGAATGTTGTTGAGTTGTTGTGGTTTGGCTGTGTAATGTTATCTCTGTTATAATGCATCTACTATCATTTTTGCAAGTGTTGATTTGGCATTTGGTTTGCTTAGTTTGGCATTGTAGACCCGTGAAATTTGTTGAGCAGGTACATTTATATCCTCCGTCTGTTAAATCTGAACATTGGCCCTGATTGACAAAAACAAGAGAAAAAGAGAGATTCAAATGTTAACTATATCAAAAATTACTAAAACGAAATTCTAATATAAGAATAAACTCAGTATGAAAACTATCAAATTAATGAACTAAATTACGACTTATAAAATAAATGCAACACGAACTAAAATTTGGACTTATATCTTTATTGAATAAAATGTATTCATCATCTTTATTAAATAAAAAATATTCATCAAATTACAAAGGTCAAAAATTAAAAGCGCAAAATGTTATCATAATTCAAAAAAGGTTTTATTAAAATTAAAAAAAAGTTATCAAATATAAAAAGTCACAAGTTTTACAAAAATTAAAAAAGTAATCTTTTTTTCTTACAAAAATATAATATCAATTAATTTCTAATATTTCAAAATGACTGACATTTTTCTAACTAAATACAAAAACATAGATAAATAAATATGATTGACATTATCTTATAAATGTATTATTTATGACAGCTAACTCAATATTTTATTTAGAAAAAAAAATATTAGGCAAAGTCTGAAGATTTTGATCATAGATGATGGAAACAAAAGTTTAGACATCTATTAGCGAAATCTGGAGGTTTAGCCAATATTCTTCTGGCTAAAATATTGAGTTAGACATTTTTTTAAAAAATGGGCTCAAATCGAGCCCGTTTAACAACCCTAATCAAAACAATCAAAATAACTAAGTAACAACATAATATATCCAAATCCTTCCTTCTAATTCTGCTTGGGGGTCAGAAACCTCTATCCCCCCTTTCATTTCTTAATGGCATCCCCGACTCCACTCTCAGCAATCATAAATCCTTTCTAACCGAATCATTTATTAGGGAGTTCCTCCAACTTTACGATTCACAAAGATCCAGATTATTTTTAATAACTTCAATATTGATACCCCGACCTCATCCATCCTAGCTCAACAAAATAAGCTGCTAATTATATGGTTACTAATTTTTGTGATGCGCTTAGGGTTGGGGGGGGGGGGAAGGGAGGATATGATATTAATAGTTTATCTTAATTTTACCGAAACTTGATATGGGGTAAAATCTGATGTGTAACTTAGAGGGTAGGGGTTAGAGAACTATATAGGGTTAGTTTATAACAATAGTTTTACTTAATTTCACCAAATCTAGTTAAGGGATAAGGTCTAGCAGGTATATGAATTAAAGGACAAATAAGGTATAGGTTATATATCTATAAAAAAAAATGTGTTAAGTTTTAAAACCAGTTTTTATTAGAAATATGGGTTATTTACAAGGTTAATAATAATCATTACATTAAGGTATTACCTATCAAATTTGTATTTTGTTTATTTTTCATTTGGATAGGTACTACCAAATTTATTTATAATATATATTATGAAAAATTGTGAATTTTGGAAAGCCTGTGTGGCCCAGTCGGCAAGATCTTGGTTTACTAATCCGATGGTTATGGGTTCGAGTCCCAGCAATGATCATATTTTTTTCTTAATCAAACTTGGTGGTTCTGTTCCTGGTGGGGGGGGGGGTGTATGATATATAGGAGGCCAGACTTGACCACATGATTCTGTTATAATATATGCTAAATAATAAGGGTCTTATTACATTATAATAAATTTTGGTCGGTATTTAGCAAATTTGGTGTTGGTATTAGAAAATTGCTATATGTTGACTTGGTAGTGACTATCATTAACCTATGGGTTATGTTATTTTTTATTATTTTGAATATTGTCATAAATTTTTTAATAACATTAGGGATGGGGTTTATAAATAGAAATTGAAGAGAATGCTAATTTTTATTTTAAAATTACAAGGAATCTCCTTTTCTCAACCATATTATAAATTGTATTTTTTTTTGCATTTAAATAAAAATTCATTAGCATAAATTAAATATAGAATAAATCAATTTACAAGAATGTATATCCATAACTTTCTAATTGTTGAGTCTCTTCCTCAAGTGCAATTTTTTCTAGCCAATCTAAATATATCTAAAAATATGTGGTTAAAATTAAAGTATTCATTCATTAACAAACTTGTGCTTCTCTCAATTTATTGTCATGTTCATAATGGTATTCAATTATTTGTTTTGGTGATAGTTGACTTAGATCCTAAATTTAAAGATGCATAATGATTAAAAATTGTTATATAAATATACAAGCTGAGGTGCATTTAAAGCCTTATCCTCTTTATCTTTAACTCTGCTGGCGACTAATGAATAGATTAAATTCCATAATCTGCTTTCATATTTCAAATTATTAATTGAAAGTTTTGATTCTTCAACAAAACTGGGAAAAAGTAAAACATATATAATTATATAAAAACTTAAAATCGGCATAATTGTCCTGAATATTTATTTTTAATTCATCTATATATTCTAGACAAGCCTTAAAAATATATATAGATTTATTAAAATAATATGATTATTATACATCTTCATAAAGTGCAATAATATCTAAAATTGAAAAAGTAGAAAAGAGCAACTGATCATTGGCAATTTGATAAAATTTCTGAAAGATGGTATTATCTAATTTTAAAAATAAAACACATTTTGTTAATTTTATAAAAACTTGGTTTTTCAAAAATTTCCATTTTTTAAACTTGAAAATTATGAGTGTATGTTAAATTTCTTCAATGAACACATGTTCACGTGGTCGATGAATAGCCATATTAAAAGGGTTTATAAAATAAAAGAGCATTAATATTATTGTATTATAAGTATAATTCTTGTAAAATAATTATAAATATGTTATATATCGAAAAATTTATTAATTTTTTATTTAACATTCTTAACATTGTCGATATCATTTTTACGAATGAAATAATAACAAGCTCGTATAACAGGTTGACGCCTACATTTTGGCATATACTGAGTTTAACAAAATTTTTTTGTCAAATTTAGCAAAATGAAGTTAAATTTGTTTGTTTTTAGTTATCACGAGCTGAAGACAATTAGAGAATTTTATTTTGCGTCGAGGTATATAAAAGTTTTTTTTGCTTAACTACGAGGTTAAAGGTACGTAGAAAAAGGTCCGTGAAGTTGGCAGAACGACTTGAGGTGCAATTGGCAAATTTTATGTCATTATTTAGAGTCTTAATTGCACATAATTACACTTCTATCAGGACATCAGCATAATGAACCGATCGTGAGTTATGAGCAAAATAAGGAAAGTGTGAAATTTTGAAGCTGGCAGAACGACTTGAGGTGCAATTAACAAAAATTACGCCATTATTTAGAGTCTTAATTGCACCTAATTGCACTTCTATCCTTACATCAACAAAATCAACCGCTCATGAGTTATGAGCAAAATAAGAAAGTGTTGGCACTTTGCCAAAACCGAAAATAAATAAGCTTACTTTCCAAAACTTGGCAATTATTTAGTATTTAATTTGTGCTTTAATATTCTCAAAACGGTATATCCGTATCATTAAACGCAAGCGAGTTATATTCATTTATTTGAGAAGCGGAAATAAGTGGAATTCTTTGTAACTGTGAGATGCATTTAGCGATACATATGTCAATGTGTGGCCCTTTAATTGAACATCGAGAATCTTTAAACCGCATATCATCGGAATCAACCGCTTGTGAGTTATGAGCAAAATGAGAAAGTGTTGAAAATAAATAAGATTACCTCTAACTTTCCGACACTTTCTAAAATGTCGTTTTTACTGGTGATGTTTAAAATCACCTATTGCAGGCCTTTAGCTATGCCAATATATTTAAGATAATTTTTATTTATTTTCTAAACATTATGTCAATAACATTTTCTTTCAAATTACTATTATGTGCAGATTTTTGGGTGATAGGGAGGCGGAAAATTTTTACTCCCTTAAAATGATACTTAAGAATTGGTAAATTTATCAAGGGGGAATTTACCCTCCTTCCTCTACCTGGCTACGCCTGCCTTAACCCTATAATAGGGTTAAATGTTGTTTCTGGGTATTTTTTAAAAGTATATGGTTACTAAAAATTTTAAAATAAGTTATGGTTTTTAAATTTAACGTGGTGGCATCGTTCCAAACTGACTTTGTTATAGCTATTTTAAAAAATTAACCTTATAAAATAAATCACCATTATCACCAATATAATATTTATATAATTTACTTACACTTTTAGAACCTGTGCCTGGATAATATTCCCCAAAAGGGTTCCAGCACTAGATTAGTCCTGTCCTCGAGGATTCTGGTCACAGTGATTATAATCCTAGTAAAATTTTATGAGAAACTTGGTATATAACATCGACTTGTAAATTTCCTCAGTTAATGTTTTCGTGGAAATGCCTTAAGAGTAGAGGCAAAATGTAACGTCTGGAAGAAACGAATAAAGTAACGTTCTTTTTCATTGAATAGTGAGTAACCCAACGTTTACTTTTGCTTTTTTTAAATAACGGAAGAACTTAAAGTGACAAATTTTCGTATAAGTCTAACTGAAGAAAATTCACATTATCATGGCTGATGTATTTTTACTAGTCTGCACTATAAACGATCTGTCAGATTCGAGTAATACAAAATTAAATTATTTTATTATACAGTATTTTTTTTTAAAAAAAATATTAAATAAATAAAATATTAATTTAAGCCAAGTTTTCAGATCAAATCAAAAGATTATATAAGATGTTTTGCGATCGAATTTTAATAACTTAAAATGTAGCAAATTATTTTATAAAATAGATTATTCGATTCGATTGAAAAAGGAATATCTTATTTGATATCGATAAGTTTCATTTTTAAAAAAAACCAAATAAATACAATGAATATTTATAAAATTATAATTTGTTTAGTCACAATCATAACTGTCGAAATAAATTTATAATTGAATAATTTGATTGGTTGTAATAATTTTTTTTTATATATATAAATTAATTTGACATTCATTCCCCTTCGTTTTCTGAGATATCGAGTTCATCTAATTCTTTCAACAGGGCATCTTCTGTTGCAATCTTATCTAGCTAAAAATCATGATATATTATACATAAATAAGAGGTAGGTAAACCGGGCTCAGAACCCAGCCCGAAACGGGTTAAGAAAATATGGGTAGCGCATAAAAATATGAACCCTGCAAGTTCTTAACGATATAAATTCTTTGTGCCTTATTAGTGATAGTGGCTTAATAAATTGAGAATATTTTGCGTTGCATTTGCTTTTAACCAATATTACATTATTCTAAAAATTTCATCGACAATTTTATAAAAAAAAATTTTTGAAATGTATAACTACCGCAAAAAAAACTTTCTTTTTTCATTTTTTTTATTTTAAATGCATGGTTTGTTTAAGAAAAAGTTTTTGCTATAGCTTATAAAGAAAAATTGTGGGATTAAAAAAAAATTTCAAGTTACCAAAAAATATACCTAAATTAAGAACGAATGGAATGGCAAAAAAAAACAGATCAGATGATTATTATAAGAATCAGCTAATAACTTTAACTTATGGCGTTTGAGAAAAATAAAAAATTTAATGCGACTTTAAATGAGAGATGCACCAGCGCTAAAAATATTCTTTTTTTTTAAAAAAAAAATTATGAAGGCTCCATATTTGTATCGTTGTCGATAGTGAACAATACAGTAAAGTATCGATGCATTTCTGCTCCAAATATATTTGAATATTTAAAAGGGCTTATGATAGATTACTGCCAAAGTCGGTACCGAGCGAATGGTATTTTATCTCTTCTTCATTTGGATAAACTGCCAAATTAGATTTATAATAAAAATTTTAAAAACTCGTAATTTTCGGAAAGCGTCTGTGGCCTAGATAAGGGCGTCACTTGCCAATCCGATGGTTTTAGGTTCGAATCCAGGAATAATCATGTTTTTTTCTGAATCCACCATAGTGGTTCCTGTTTTATGTCGACTACTAATGTTCTAATTATTAATTATTTTTTATTCTACTTTCCTGGGTTCATTTTTCTATTAACTAATTTAATCAAATTTTTTTTATATAAAATTAATAATATATTTATTATTTTTACTTGATCCTTTTTTTTGATCCCTATCAACGCAATTCCGTTAATAATTATTTTAAAATAAGTGGATTTTATTGCAAAATATACATTTGGAAGTGCCTATCAAAGCAAAAACTGTAACATATCGGTTCGTTCGATACTCTAGATGTCAGTAAGTTTCTCATATTTTTGTAAATATTATCTGTCCCAATAAGTATCTTGATAAAACTAATTATGATTATTTTTGAATGTATCACCAGGAGGAGAAATAGTTAATGATATTATGCATAATATCGTGGTAAAAACAATAATTTAAATCATTGTCACAATTATGATAAATATGGCTGCGCCGATCAACCCATTCTTATATTTATCCAGGAAAAGGTTGTGTTCAGTGAAAAATCTCACGATTGTGGAATTGTCAAGTGTCGATGGGATTCGTATTTCAATTGACATAGTCATTCCTTTTTACGAGTATTTCTGATTGACAACAAGGGTTAAGAGTTAAAGTTCAATCGGTCTCACAAGTCTCGGAGTGTTAAAGTTAAATTTCGATGAGGTGATAATGGGCAACACTTTTGTTAGAAATAAGTTAAAGGAATTTTACCAGAAAAAGGATTAGCTTCCTACTATATCCAAAACCAAATGGTTTTGAGAATAATTAAAACGATCAAATAAATTAGACCTGAAAAAGGATGATAGATTCTGACTTCATTGTTTTAAATCTTCATATATGAGTTCATTTTGTAAAACAAGCCATTAGGAATTCATAGCCAACCAGATATACCGAAAAATGGGACTGGCGATGCCAGTGTCACGTGGAAGTACGAATCAATTGCGCCATTAAAACATCGGGAGAAAATTATGCAACTCAAAATCGTGAATTTAATTTGAATATAATTTAAAAAGTCAATTAGTCGGCAAATCGACTCATACATACATAGTAATAATATAAGATGAATTCTAATGACTAATCAACAAAAATAACAAGATCTACGGCCTGCCTTTTCACATTTTTTTAAAAATAAATTTTGTGTCAACGGTTGAAAATTAGATTATTGCATTATTCACTTTTTGTCAAAATTGACATTTATATATAAATCAATTCCGAAATATTTTAAAATTTGTTAAATTTATCGCTTATAGTATAAGGTTAAAACTTCAATTGAAAAACATAAAAAACTTAATTTTTAAAATTGCTTTCCAATTGCAAAAAAAAAGTGGAGATGGAATCATCCAATTCTCAGGCGATCTATAGTGAATTGAGAAAAATGGAATTTTTTTTTAGATTTCAACCTCATCCAACAGGGAAACATGGTCGCTTGTGTATAACTTATAAAAAAAAATGAATCTTAAAATGTATATATCTCTAGAATTTATTAAGCTAGAATATTCATTCAAATATATTCCGGTAAAAAAATTTAATTGGCGAAAGAAATATTTTAAACGGCACGCCCCGGAAGTTATAAACAGGAAATGCGTGATCATTTTTATTTTTTTAAAAAAATTGAAAACTTAAAATTATCTTATAAACTACAATAAGTGAGTGGACTTAAAAACCTCCAATAAAATTTATGGCGTAAAACAGAGCCTAATATAGTGTCATCCTCACCTAAAGGAAAACCGGGATATGCTTAGGGATAAAAGTATGGGTATATAAAAAATTTAAAAATTTAGGAGTGGATTTAAGTTACGATTATGGTAGAAAACCCATCTTATTTTATTATAACAAAGCACCTTGCTCTAATATCTACTTATATAAAAATTAAAAAACAAAGAAAAGTACCGATTTTAATTTATATTCATTTCCGGTTTTAAACTTCCGGTATTCACTCTCAATATTTTGTCGTTAATTAAATTTCGTATAATGTTGAAGAGCTATTACTAAATTACTAGATAAATATTCTATAGCCTAAAAACTTCCAAATATAATTGCATTTTAAAATTTAAAAAAAAAAATTATGAAATTTTGGACATTTGAGCCCTAATTTTTTCATTTTTTTAAAAAAGTTATAACTAAACAGATCCAAGGGTTTCAGGTAAGCACTTTATGATTTACGTGGAATTCGACATATAATATATAATGTACCAGTGTCTTATCTAACACCTTCCCCGATTTAAGTTGCCATTTGAGGCTGAGTATTTGTTTCAATTTCTTCCTAATATTTCTGGCCCTTTTGCTGGCATCTTTCGTTCCGACGACAAGCGATTTGGGCTCGCTACTTTTTCCTTTGGGAGTGAAGGGTGGAATGGAAGAAACGAAATTGGAATTTCTCTCGTGTGGAGGCACGTATAACTTAGGTTTTTCTAGTGGATTTAAAAAAAATTATACATATATATGGTGAATTCTATATCAAATCTACCAAAAAAAGTCGATTCTCAACCCGACCCCCTTCAATTTTTCTTAAATTTTGCATAATGGTAGTATATACTATAACTAAGAAAAAAATGAAATTTTACCTCCCAACAAGGTTTACTGCTAAGATATGGGCGTTTAAAGCGCGGAAAAATAGTACATTTTTGACAAAAGTGCCTCATTTATTTTCAAATATCTCGAGAAATCATTAAGTTAGAAAAATAATTTAAATTTTATTATGTAGCTTAATAATAGTTCTTTAATATGACATAAAAATAAATATGATATAAATTTGATGAATGTCCAAAACCGGATGTATAAAACCGGAAATGGCCATAGAAAAAAAAGGTATTTTTTTTTCAAAATTTTTTTCTATAGATAGATATAACACTGCTTTATATTTGTGCCAAATCCTAGCCTGGGATGAAAAAGGGTCTAGGAGTTATGACTCTTTATATGGCTTAAATTGATCAAAAATATCTTCATTTAATGAATACTTATGAAATGATGTTTTTTAAAAATTATGACTAAATGATAGGCCCTAACTTTTTTTTATTTTTAATTGTTAACTTATTGTGACTGAAAATTACTTGACAAAATAATTCTAAACCAATTTATAACTTTATTTTTCTGAAATGCATAATTACATTTAATATAATAATTCATAATTATGTTTACAATATATCATATATTAAATTATCTAAAGAATTGGAATAAATTTTGACTTTAATTTTATTTTCGTCAAGGGGAATATAAGCATGGTATTTTTGTGTTCCCGGAATTCTTTTTGCTCTCAAAAATCTGCTTTCTAGATGATTTTCCATATTATTGTATTCATTATTGCTTACAAAAATGTAATTTACTCCATGTATATTATTTGTTGCAAAGTCGAATAAATCCATTGGTGTCAAAATATGGTTTTGATATGGCCGTTGCAAACTAGCTCGAGCTGCTAGCCGTTTTTTAATACCTCCTAAACTGTCGCACGGACTTTTTCCATGAGCTGTAGCAAAAAAATGCCACTCGGCCTTTATACCAAAATCACATTCATGATTATAGAGATTTATGAAATTTTTTTTATTTTTATATTGGGTTATGGCTCCATCAGAAAAATAATAAATTTTGGTCAATGTATCGAATCTTTCTTTTAAAAATAAGATCATTTTAGTTTGAAATAAATAAAAGGCACAGGCATTGTGCTTTAAGCAATCTGATATCACCACTAAACTTATATGTTTTATAGTGTTGTCCTGACTATAATAAATGATAAAAGAGTGAATAGTGGACTGATTATTAGTCCAATGAAATCCCTGTGCATGGTCTTGCACTTTTTCCCAATAATATAATATGATTTTATTATTTTTTTAGTTTATAATAATTTAGTTTCTTTTTCCCAATAATATAATAATTTTATTATTTTTTCCGTTTAAGAATACTATTTTCGATTCGGAGAATTCATTTTTCTTTAATATGAATAAAAATTGTGATTATGATTTTAAGATGAAGTAAAAGTTATAGAGCTTACACATTAGGGGTTACGAAAACTACAATATGAATGTGAATTTATCAATTAAATATGATGATATTTGTTGAATTTTAATTATGATAGATTGTTTTATGCTAATAAATAAAAAAAAGTAAGGGCATATCATTTAGACATAATTTTTAAATAAACATTATTTCATAAGTATTCATTAAATGAAGATATTTTTGATCAATTTAAGCCATATAAAGAGTCATGACTCCTAGACCCTTTTTTATCCCAGGCTAGGATTTGGCACAAATATAAAGCAATGTTATATCTATCTACAGAAAAAAAATTTCGAAAAAAAAAATACCTTTTTTTCTATGGCCATTTCCGGTTTTATACATCCGGTTTTGGACATTCATCATATTTATATCATATTAATTTTTATGTCATATTAAAGAACTATTATTAAGCTACATAATAAAATTTAAATTATTTTTTTAACTTAATTATTTCTCGAGATATTTGAAAATAAATGAGGCACTTTTTGTCAAAAATGTACCATTTTTCCGCGCTTTAAACGCCCATATCTTAGCGGGTAAGCCTTTTTGGGAGGTAAAATTTCATTTTTTCCTTAGTTATAGTATATACTACCAGTATGCAAAATTTAAAAAAAAATTGAAAGGGGTCGGGTTGAAACCTTGGTTGATTTGATATGGAATTCACCATATCTATACAAACATCATTAAAAAAATAACTTGGATAAAATTTAATTTTCGAACAAATACTTTTAAAATAAAGTAAAAGGACAATGTTTTAGGGAGTAAGATATAGAACTTAGTGGCTACTGAACTGAATTATATTTAAAAAAAATACAAAAATACTTATTACAGTGGACACCAGATAATCGATCAGGTCCTATTTATCTAAAGAAAATATATATATTATCCCTCTAAAATAATTTAATGTACATGCCAGAGAGTAATATTTGAGAAAATGTAGCGTACGATAATTGTTATAGAAGAAATTATATGAAATTATAAATATAGTTGCAAATTATACACTTAAATATATTATATATATATTCACCCATAATAACTTTGAAATACGAATATATTTCGAATTATAATTAAGTGGGCTGACAAAAAAAAATATTATAAAGGAAAAAGGGGACTTATATTAACTAGAGCTTTGTTCTAATTGTCATATTTGTCGTTATTATTATTTAAAATTATTTTATTATTTTTAAAAAAAAATTTATCATATTTATAGTCGCGTGATTTTATATATCACGTGTAGAACTCGTGATTTCTTTGTCCCAAAAAAAAGTATTAAAAGGGGACGAGTTTTTATAATTATAAATGACTGTTTAACATTTTTGCTTCTTTTTTTTGATGGCGAATAAAATTTGGAGTCGAAAATATATTATTTTCAGAGTTGTGATGGTAAATTGTGTAAGTTATCTAAATAGCGTTATACTGGTAGAGTTATATGATTGACGATTTAACAGCTGATCGACATATAAAATCGGTTTATGAGAATCAATTTTTCTTTATTAAAACCAATACTTAGGTTATTATCATGTATAGAATTGAAGATAAAATTAATATTATTTTTAAAAAAAAATTGATCTCATAAACAGATTTTAAAAATCGATCAGCTGTTTAATCGTGTCGGATCGGATCCACTATGAATGCGGCCCAAATATAACAATTTTCACGATTAGTTTAAACGATAAAAATAATTTCTGTCTTCCGATTACTCTCTCTACAAAACCCTGTTAAGTTGTAATGTTTTAGATTTATCCTTTAGAATAAAAAATAGGGTGCGCGGATATCTTAAAATTTCATTTTTTTTATTAAATTACTATTTACCGACCGCGCATCTAAAAAAAACATCTTTTAAAATGACGCGTTTCGAACGCGAAAACGCTCTAGTTACTGCCTTATCTCCTGAGTGCAGCTCTTGCGAGTCTCGGTGGTGATTCGACATTTTAAAAAAATTACTCAATGTTATTTATTTTCATATAATAAAAAAAAAATAAGAGAAATATAAAACTATTAGAACCATTGACGTGGGTATGCGCTTCTTGGGACAAGGATTTATCCATGGTGCTTTTAACGATTCTGTAGTCAATTTTAAAGGGCGGAAATTTGCAATCGGAAGCGGGTGGTCTCCATTTGATGTCCGTCAACTCTATGATCTCCTCGGAACGGAATATCATGGTGCCAGTGTAATGGTACAAGTAGAAACTGAAAAAAAATGGAATTAAGTGGTGAGGGAGGAGTATAAATTGATTATATCAGTTTTAAATCAATGCCTTCCTTTTTTTCTTAACTATCATCTACTCACTTTCGTTTCTTTCCACCTTCAAATAGCTTTACAGAGTTTTTAGCGGGAAATATTCAGTAGTACTAGTAGTACTCATCGATTTTTCCCCATCTTTCTCACTCACCCCTAATAAAAAAAAGGCGAACCCGTTATCTATTCTAAGCCTAGGACTAGTGGTAGCTACCAACATATGTTGACCATCTGGGCACCATTCAAACCGGGTTGGGATCAGTTTGTTGAAATTCAATTTCGTGATTAATTTGCAATTGTTCACGTCGTCGTGATAGGTCTCCCAAAACTCTAAAAGACCTTGGACGTTACCCGAACCCGTTAACGCCAGCAGTGAATTTCGGGTAAATATTTTATTCATATATTTCGTGATATAGGAAAAATATTCGAAAATGGACAAATCAATGATATATATGATGGGTTTATATATTGACCATTATATTGGATAATTAGTTCAACTTGGGAAGATTTTTTAATTGGATAAAATATATCTAAAATTTAGCAAGTAACAGAGTAAGAGGTGGGATTTAAGGTTAGAGACATAGGTTAGGGTTAATTGAAGGTTTGAGAGATATGAGTTAGGGTTTTTTTTTTAAAAAATAACTTGTCAAATCTGATAGGTCATGTGATCATAAATAGACAAATAAAACTTTAATAAATCAGCTGTTGTAACGGCGATTTCTTTGAGTCGAACCACAAGGTGTCTTTTTTTAAAAAAAGTAATAAAAGGTTTAAGAAATATGAGTTAAAGTTTTTTTTTTAAACTTGTCAAATCTGACAGGTCATTGAATATTAAATAGACAAATAAAAAATTTTATAATCAGCTGTCGTAAAGGCAATTTATTTGAGTTGGGCCACAAGGTGTCTTTTTTTAAAAAAACTTGTCAAATCTGACACAGGTCATGTGATAATAAATAGACAAATAAAATTTTTTATAAATCAGGTGTCGTAACGGTAATTTATTTGAGTTGGACCACAAGGTGTCTTTTTTTAAAAAAAGTAGCAAACTTTTTTTTCAAAAACTTTGTATCTTTTTTCCTTAATTAGAATGATAATTTGATCAATATTAAAAACTAATAGGAAAATTTATTTTTATATGTTTCGTTTATATAGTATTTTTTTAAAAAACAATTTTTTTGAAAAAGGATATGTTGTCCTTGGGGATTGAAATCGCACCCGTTCCTATTTCCGGTACCAAAATCGAATACTATTTCTCCATAATCATTGAATAGAGAGGCCTTAGAGGGCATCTTACCTTTAGTTATATATTTTGGAGGTATCATAAAAAAATATTGAATATACAATCAAAAATCATTACTCTTTTTCTAGTGGCATATTTTCTTTCTTCCTTTCCTTCTTTCAATAAAATATAATGCTTTAGATAGCACTATAATTAGTTTTAGTTTTTTCTTTATTTAAACAAATAATTATTAAGGTTTCAAATAGTTATTCTTTTAAATTATAGCCAGTCAAACCAGCATACAAGGTAAAAACTATCGGCGTTTTTGGTAATTAAGAGCTTAATAAAAAAAACGTTCAAATCCGAGTCATATAAATCTCAACTTATAGGTAAGTACAATCAATCAATGAGATAATTTTTTTAAAAAATAGAGAGTTTATCTATGGCCGGGGTTGGATTACCAACTTTGTAAATTTTCACGAAATTTATCAATAATAACAAAAAAAAATTTTTTTAAAGGACATAATCATACCATATATAACAACGAAGTAATCAGTGGCGGGTTTTGGTTTGACGCCGGTACTACGCCTGGTAGTATCGGTATTATCGTTGGCGTTGGGATTGTTATTGAGACTGGTCTTGTCGGGTAGCGCGCCCCAGGTCAAAGCGTATATGGGCATCTCCAAGGATAGGGAAATGGAAAACCCGTCCTTCCTGACCGAGAAAAGAAACACGGATTGGTTACCGTAATAGGACTCGTTTGTTCTATCAACTTGGCAAGTGAGCAGGGCCAGAACGCATCTGCCTTATGTATTTTAAAAAAAAAATTATATTAATAGAAACTAAGTTACCTATCCTTTTCTCTCGTAATCTGTAACTGTAACTCATTTCTATTTTCCTACTCTTGTCAATTCAAAATTTTGGAATAATTTCTTAACAAATTTTATAATAATTGTATATATATATAAAAAAATAATATATTTAACTAACTATGGGGAATAAAAAAACAAGTATAAAAAACGTGTTTTTTTTAAACAAAAAAATGTAGCTTCTGTCCCGAAAATATTGGATTGGAACAGATATTTGGCGTTTTCAAAAAAAGGATCGGATTGGGTGAATTTTTAAAAAACAGATCCATTTTGGTTTAATTTTCTTTTTATTTAATAATATAATTTTTCGTAATAATTAAAACTAAAAATTTATTTTGTTGTAATGTTTTTTTTAAAGAAAAATATATAATTTAAAATTTGACAGTATTATTAGTGATTTATATTATCCGCGAGCAAGAAAAAGAATTTTAAAATATCTCAGGTCACACACATTTAAGCTAGTATCGCTAAACGGCTCATATTTAGCCAATTTTTTTTTTTTTTAAAAATGGTTAACTCAAGATTAGGGCTAAATTTTCGAGGGTTTTATGCAGAGTTGTTAAAAGATACTTTTTAAATGGATCTAGATACAGATACATCGTATAAAATAATATAGATACCGATATTTTAATCAAAAATCTTTCTAGATACAGATACCACATTTTTATATCTAGATACAGGATCTAGATACTTGTATCTAGATCCTTTAACAACTCTGGTTTTATGTATAGTGATAATTAGTGTTTGTTAAACCGCTCGATTTAAGCCGATTTTTAAAAAACGGCTTACTCAATATTTTATCCAGAATAATACTGCCCAAGCCAGAAGAGTTTGCTCATAGATGACAACAAAGGTCTATACATCTATTAGCGAAATCTCGAGGCTTAGGCAATATTTTTCTGGCTAAAATATTTTTTTAGCCCTTGTTAAAAAATCGGCTCAAAACGGGCCATTTAACAACACTAGTAATGACATGTTGGCTAAAATCTTGAATCGGCTAAATGGAGCTGTTTGATAGCATTTGCCTCATAGGCATTGCATATATTTTAAATGAGATTATTAACTTTTGGAGAAGAATACAATAAGAAAAAAAATCTACATAATCATTCATGAAAGCTATTTGGGTTTTCTAAAAAAAATAGATATTAATATTTTTATGACATTACTTTCGCTTCAAAGATAGATGTAGATGGTAAATAAAAATTTATATAAATATCGAATAGGTGTCGGATAAATTTTTATTATATTAATGGATCCGGATCCATTTATTGTATGATGAGAAGCTTTGAGTGCCGAGACTTAAGAAGAAACTCTAAGGGATGATCTGGTGGATGGCAAAGCGTCAAGAAACCAGAAAATAATGGAGCAGAAAAAAAAAATCTAACCATTTTTTTTAATCTTTAATTTAAACCTGTAGAATCCCAGTAAAAACTGCACTCATCCCCATTGAACATATTTTTGCCCGGATATTGATTAACTATGAAATCTGGAAATTGTAGCAGCTTTATTTGACAAGGTTGACCCTATTTATAATATAATATTAATTTAATTTTTTTTAAGGCAGCATTTTAAGGATTTTATTCATATCTTATTATAAATGCGGTGAGGAAAATTAATATATAATCTAACTTTAGCTCCTTTGGTGAATGTTGCTATGTAAGTTTGAGAAACCCTGGGGGATAGTGCGTAAGAATTTATAATCATATTAGGGGATGTTTTTGTTACAATATTATCTATATTATTTTTTTCCATAATATAAGCAATAAAAGAAAATAATTATAAATTTGAATATTAAAATATAACAAAATGTCTTTTATTTATTTTAATCAAGGCTTCAAACATAAATTCTGATTCAGAAATTTAAATTGGCTGGCTATGAGCCATTTTGAGTACAGAGACCAAATAATATAAGGACAACTCATCAAACTATGAATATTTTTAGAGTGAGACTGATTTAGAGCTTTCAGAAAATTGATTCCATTTTTCTCTATTTCTTGCTAACTAGTTTAATTTCCAGAACCCAAATAAGGGTTAAAAGTTCAGATTTTAATAATTATCTCTTTTTAAATCTATTTTTACCTTTCCAAAGATTTTGAATTATTATAAATGAAACCAAATACAAACTATGTATTAACACGTATACCTGAGGGTGGAGGATTATAAAATCCAACAATATTGTTATTGTTGTCGATAAACTTAGCAAAACATTTTTCATCCTTTGTCCAGCTAATTTCCCTGTAAATATTTTTTTAATTAGAAAATTTTAAAAAAATTAACAAACCCATAGTTCTGTCTAGCAGAGGTGTAAGAATGAACTAATTTGTTTGATTTAATGTTATAAATTTGCAGATTTTTTTTGTTAGCTATAAAAAAATATATATAATTTTTACAGAGTATGTTTCTGACCATTATTAATTGAATGAAAGAATGATTTATATAAAATCTAAATAAATTTGTAAATATAAACTTTGAGGATTAAAGTCTCGCCATATTACTAGATATGTAGAAAGTGGTGATATCGTGGCATGTCGTATGTTTTTATGATTTAATTTAATTTTGTAAGTCAATTCTAGCACATTACTAAGGTAATTATTTTGTCTAATATAATCATCAATATCTACAAGATATAAACTATCATCAGACAGTTAATCAAAGGATAAAAATTATATAATTACTCATTGGAATCAACCCAACAAAAGTATTTACCATCTTCACTAAATAAAATTTGACGAATTTCTTTATTTGTACAAAAGCTTTTGAATTTAGAATTATATTTGTGGTATTTATATTGTATTTACTTGGGATCTATTATGGATATGTATTCAAAAGGAATAATTGCGTTAAAAAATCGTAAACCATCTTTTTGTTTTACTAAGGAAAGAACATAATTATGTTGAAATATATCAATAAATCTAAAATACTTGCTATAATTTTCAAAGTTTTCATGCTTAAATTCATGAATGTATGTAATTGCTAAGACACATCCATAGAAAGAGATATAATACCACTTTATTGGTTATTTATTGCCTGATGATTAATTTAGTGATAAAATTTTTAGATTCGTTAAAATAAAAATATTATAGAGTAATGTTGTTAAGAGCCGGAGTTGGGTCGATTTTTAAAAACGGCTCGATTATTTTTGCAGAAATAAAATTATGTAAACCTTGAGATTGTAAATAGAGGTTTAAACTTTTCTGCTATTTATGAGAAAAATTTCCACGAGTAAATAGTATTTTAGCTAAAATCTTAATCAGACCGTCTTTAAAAATTGATCCGATTTTTTTAACAATATTCACATAGACCTGTGGATCACATAGGCAGCTGATTTACATAATTCATAAAAAATAAATCCAAATTAACATATTTAAAAAATCTTCCTGTTAAATATATTTCAAGAAGCTCTATTACCAACAGTGGCGCCTATAATAAGGGAGAGTGGTAGGGGGGTGGGGGAGGGGTGACAATATAACATTTTCCTAAAATTAGCATGGTAACCTATGAATCAAATTGCAATCCCATGATGATGGAGGTTTATTGAAATTTCTTCTTATTTTTAAATTTTTTACATATTTTTATATCTATAGAAGCTAGTTAGCATTATAAAGCTATTTATTTAAAAAATTATACTTTATAATGTGTAGGAGATTTGAAAAATTTTAAAGATTTTGAAGAACTTGCCACTTCTGCCATGACTACTCACAAAATGTGACATATTTTCTTTATAGAATGAAATTAGACTAATAACTAGATTAACAATATCGATTGTATAAAATTCAACCAAAAATATAATAAATAAAATTGAAATGAAAAACTTTTATAAATCCGAACTAAAACTCGGCTCAAATTATTTTTAAAATTTGAATAAAGATGAAAATATTTTTCCTATATTCTTTAAGAAATGAGTAACGTTTTACCGTTACTACTCACCTTTTCCTCAAAAAAAGGTAGTGCTGTTAGTAGCGACATTATTCCCATCAACTTACTTTACAGTACTAATTATAATACATATTTAATTAATGTTCGCATTAAAAGAGTTTATTTTGCAAAATTATTGGAGAAATATATATATATCTATACTTCTGTGTTTAGATAAACCATTTATATTTAGTCAGAAGAATTAAAAGCTCATTTAAAACAATTTGTTGAAATCTTTTTCTTTATTAAAGAGTATCAAATAAGATGACAAATATTTTTAATCATTTTTTTTTTAAATATGAAAGGAATGAGAATTAGAAAAATAAAAGAAATCAGCTAGCAAAGTAAGAGTCTTAATTTTGGAAACCATTTTTTGGTTTTTTTTTTAAATTATAAACTTTTACATAAGTAGGGGAGACTGGGGTTAGGTGAACCGATTTTTACAAAATTGTTTATAGCTCCTGGGGTTTTTTAGATAATATAAAAAGCAATATATGATTGGATACCTAAAACTATATTCTATAAAGGTTCCTTATAAAAAAATTCTAGAATATAATCATTTTTTTGAAATTTTATTTTTTGTAAAAGTCGTAAATTTTCCCAACAAGCCCCAATAGCGGGGTGAGGCAAACCACTTCAAGGGGCTTCCTAAACCAATAGTTTTTTTAGGCCATAATAAATTGAAATGTATTTTTATTTATTAATAATGATACATATACTATAATTTTATTCTTTTATTGTTAAAAATATCATAATACATATAAATTGAAGCTAATTATATATAAAAATTGAAATTAATTTTGGTTAATTTAATACACATTTTGGACATATAAAAAATTTATCAAAATTAGCACATGTACCATGTGCTCATTCGTGGCACATTCTGCACTGGTACCACTCTTCACCATTATGATGTTTGATATATTCCAGCTTACAACAAACACAAATATCTTTGTGAATAATTTTTTTCACTATTTTTCTCTTGTTAATATTTTCTTTTTCCATTATTTTCTTTTCTTTCTCAATTAATTTCTTTTTATAAGGAGATGATGTAAATATCTCTGCTCTCCTTTTAACTCTCTTGACTCTTTCCTTTTTGGGATGAGGCAAGGATATTGATAAATTGCACGATGGTCCAGGAATATTATCTAAATGAACATAAGATGTAGATGGAGTATCATTACATATATCTAAGTTTCTATTAGTATTTAAAATATTTTTATGTTCATCTAATATTCCTAAATATTAAATGTAAACATTTACTTAACAAATCATTTAATAAACTTTTATATAAATCAAAAAAGTATAGAACATTTTCTTCATTAAATCCAGTTGCCCTAGCCATACTTGTAGCTTCAGGGGATCTTAAGGAGAGAGTAAAATTTCTTGACATAAATCCTAAATACCAGTCATGGCCAGCCATTGAATTGTCCTTCCAAGATTTAGGAAATTTTTTCTTCATATTTACTGCCATTTGGTAGGCTAATATTTTTATCTAAAAAACAATATAAAATAATGAAGAATAAACTATACCTTTTTAATTGAAAGGCCATAAAAAATTTGGTTAGATTGAATCAGATATTTAGTTATATCTCCCTCTTCTTCTTCTGTGAATATCCTCTTTTTATTATTTTGTCCTACACTAGTAAGTATGCCACTTTCTTGATATCTCTTATAATATCTCATAAAGTTTGATCTAGGAATACCTAAAATAAAAATGTCAAGTAAAATATATAATTATTTAATTATAAGCTTAACATTTAAGAACATAAAATTTAAAAATGATAATCTCTTTACCATTACCATTTAGATTTTATTAGCATATTCTCTATTATTAAATATTGCTAAAATTTGATTTTAATGTTTGAGAATTACATAAAATTAATACAATAATACTATACTTCATCTAAATTGTAATCAATCTAAAATATAAGATCATTTATAAATTACATTTAATAAAAATATTTACATAATTTCTATTATTAAATATTGCTAAAAATTGATTTTATTGTTTAAGAATTACATAAAATTAATACAATAATACTATATTTCATCTAAATTGTAATCAATCTAAAATATAAGATCATTTATAAATTACATTTAATAAAAATATTTACATAATTTCTATTATTAAATATTGCTAAAAATTGATTATATTGTTTAAAAATTACATAAAATTATTGTGATTATATCTTAAAAATAAGACAGATAATGTAGATAAATTTACCTGTAATTTGGCTAGTCTTCCTTGTTGATTTACAATTTTCATATACCCTAATAGCCTAATTACAATTATAATATTAATTCATTAAATTTTAATATACTTTTAAATAATTATCAATATTAAATGATTCTCCTATATTAATTTTTTTGGATTTATATTTTCGGACCATATCGAATAATGTAATAATTGCTAAAAAAAATTATTGAAATGGATTGACATGTATGGTTTAGCAAGCCCCGCTAGCTCTAAATTTACTAATCATGATTGAAATACTATATAGACATAATAAATATTCATAAAATTTTCCCAAATTATAGAAGAGTGTTTAAACTTTGCTATAAAATTTAATTTATATATAAATGAATATATATTTTAATAAAAATTAAAATTCTGTCATCTTTAGAAAATTTCATCAAAATTTTATTTCTTAAATAAAATTTTTAATAATTAATCATTTCAAAAAATTTTTTGTCTATAGATGTAAACTAATAAAATCTATATTAGGATAAAATTTTAACCTTCTAGTGTTTATAATTATAAAATAATATTAAATGGTTTGCCAAGCCCCACGGTTTACCTAACCCCAGTCTCCCCTAGATGATATTTTTAAAATATGCTAAGATTTTTACTTATTCCTAATTTAAATATATTGATCATTATTCAGATTTTAAATATCTCATTATAAACCTGGTTAACAGAAGTATAAAACTTTAAAATAAATTTTTTTTTCAATTTTATTTTAAAAAATTATTTTGTATTTTCTCAATATAGAATAATGTCTTTATCTGAATTGCGTTAGTGAAAATGAATGTACTCTTATTATTTTAAATAAACTGTATTTAAAACTACCATTCCTACGACCCGACAAGAGTGATAGATTAAACAGAAATTCCTTTTATTTGATGATGAACTCATCAGAAATCTATTTGAATCAGACATATACCTTAATTTGATATTTATTCTGAGATTTTCACTATTTTGATAGAATATGTTAACGAAGGTATATATTTAATTCCTTTAATGTGAGAAAATAATTGAAACATATTTGTAAATATTTTATTTTCAGGATAATCTAAAATAAAAATGCTGAATTTCTATATATTGATATTTGTAATTTATGATCCATAGGCCTTTTTTATCTCCCCACAATTTTCTATAACCCAATTTTCTGCAACAATATTATATCGTAAGTCTCTAATTTAAGAAATAATTTTTAGTCGGTGCTCGGGTAGGAGCGCGGGTGGGATTCGGATCAACCCATTTGGTTGGGTTGGTTCTATTTAATTTTTTTGACCAAAAACCAGGGTCGTGGTCGTGTAAAACCAACTGATTAACCACACTAATTATTAGTAACCCTAAGATATTAGATAAAGTTTTATTCTAACTAATTCATTTTTTCTATATTTTAGTAATATTCAAACTTATTCGTAAATATTTAATATTAATTTTTCAATTAATCGAATAAATTCGTGAATATACTAGAATAGAGTTATAAATATTTGAATATATATTCCGAAGTCGATTGGTTATCATTTTTTCAAATACCCAAACAACAGAAATATCAAGGAAAATAATGAAGCAGAATTAATAGGAATAAATTATTTTTCCCATTAAAAAATTATCAAATTATAATTTTGTCTATATTTTTAAGATTTAAAAGGAAAAAAATAAATAGAATTTAGAAAATATTCCGCTAAATACTTTTAATGAATATATAATAC